AGTCAATGATTCCTTTTAGGTATCTAAAGATATTTTTGATACCGTTCAAATGACATTGCATTGGCGCTGAGCTAAATCTAATTAACAAGTTCATTGAGAATACAATACACGGTTGAAGTGCATTGTACTAAGTACATAATGCGCCTATTGTACTTAGATCGAGATTTTCAATTCCCAACACCTCTTTATCATCAATCTTTTAGACCAAATGGATATTTCCTTACATCCAACACTTCAACCAACCATGGGAGTGTTAGTCAGATACACTTTGTCCATATTAAATTGGTTGATCAATTTATGGACATATGCAGATAGATGGATCAATATTCCACAAGCTCGATGTCTTAGCCCAAATAACTAGTAGAAAAAATTGAGTTTTCCCAAGATCTCTTATCTTAACTTTAGATCTCTAGTAGCTTATTGTTTCTCTTATTTAATCAAGAGTGTCTATCGACATATAATGCTACCATCGAAAATTTGAACTCGTTTTATTTAAAAATACGCATGGGCATAGTTCATCATTCTTATATCACATCCCAAATCAAGCATTCACTAATGTGGGTACACCATATCCTCCTGGACTGCTTTAATCCATAAAGTGAGCGTTTCAATTTATTTGAGAATGCACTATGTATTTTAGAGTTATTTGACTTAGGTACTTTCACATACACACACACACACACACGTATAGAGGTCCATTCAAGAGAGAACTGATTAGTTTGTGATAACTGTGAAATCCAATCTCAACCACAAAATCAATGGATAAATTAGGAAACTAATATTTTTGGTAATTTGACTTAAAATTATAATTAAAGGGCATTTTGGGTATTTTAAATTTTTTTATGTCTCCTCTCTCACTTTCTCCTATCTCCGGCCTCTGACGAACATCATGTGATACCCAAAATACACCAAGATACATAATGTGATACCCAAAACACACCAAGTAAACTTTGAGACCACTATGATACCAACTATGTTACCTTTGTGATACCAACTATGGCGGGGATGGGGGAAGGGTGATAAGTAGTGAGGGGATCATAGGGACAAAGATAGGACTAGTTGCCGAGAATGTTCACAGTTTGGTGTTTAGTGGTAGATCATCGGAGACGCCGTCTTGGTCAGACAAGATGATCGGATTAGGTCACTTGAGTGGTGGTGGGTGTCGGAGAAGGCCACCGGATTTGGTCCATGTGTGTCCATGTGTGTGTGTGTATATATACATATATTAAAATAATTAAACTAATTAAAAGTAAATTGGAATATTAAACTAATTAAAGTAAATTGAATAATCAATATAATTTACTAATTTACCATTTGTTTTATTTTAGTAATAACATTAACTATCTAAAATGACTAGCTCATATTGGATCTCAAAGTTATCACAAACTATCTAGGTCTCATTTGATTAGACATATATATATATATATATATATATATATATATATATATATATCCATAGGTTATTTTGAGAAGTGAAAAATATTTTAGAATGAAAGAAGTGATCCTAGTCATTCATACAATTAAGATCAGACTTAAGTGGTCAAGAATTGCGGCTTTAACTAGTCAAGAATTACAGCTTTGACTAGTCAAAATTTGGCAGCTACGTGAAAAATAGAGGGGGTAATTTCGTAAATTTTATAAATATGCGACAAACGGGTTCATATGTGAACCTGTGTGATTCACATTTGAACTATATGTTCATATGTGAACCTGTGTAATTCACATAAGAATTATTTTAACTTATTCATATATGAACCCATATGATTCATATATGAACTAATTAACTGATTTACATATGAACATATAGTTCATATGAGAATCACACGGGTTCACATATGAACCCGTTTTCCACCTATTTATAAAAGACGAAAATATCCTCTATCTTCCACATATCCATGCGAGAAATTATCTGGTGTTTCACAGTCAAAACTGCAAATATTGATCGGATGAAGGACTATGACCGCTTCTTTACTTCTCAAATACTTACCACTTCTCAAATGAACATTTATATATGTATATATATACACACACACACACACATATATATATATATATGTGTGTGTGTGTGTGTGTGTGTGTGTGTATGTGTGCATATATATAAGGTTGGGTTCCAATGAGAAAGATAGTTAAAGTGAGAAGCGTAAGAAAAGATCTCCACTCTTAGATGCACATTATGATAAGATGCACCAGATCAATCCTCGTATCAAGCATGATACATGGTTGGGTTTGAGATGAAAAGTGATCAAGGGTCCAATTCTCTTCTTATGTTTCTCACCTTAACTCTGTTTCTCACATGATCCTACGCCTATATATGTGTCACTAAAACTAGATCCTTATAGAGATACGTAGTAAACATATCCATGAGTTGTGTTTCTAGTCCTTCTGAAACTATTATAATAAGTAAATAGTGGGACGTTATAACGTCCATCATGGAAGAGAAGTCTCCTCGTGGTCAATCCAAGGCGTTATGAGAAACCTTGCATCAAAGGAGAGCCTTATACATTAGGACTTCATTATTCTCATTACATTTACTGACAAAGACCCATCTATATCCTATGGGCTTTACACTTGGTGGGTTAGCGTTACCAACCACCTATGGTTTATAACTTGAGTCCCTTTGCTGATCCTAGAATATGCTCGTTTGCTAGAAATGACAACCATTACGAACTACACGGTCATCAAGTTCAACCACCCACAGTCTATATCTTGAGTCCCCTGCTATGGTTCACAGGGTCATCAAGTTCATCCATCCACAGTCTATAACTTGAATCGTTCAATTTTCTAGCAACAATACAGAGATAAATCCTATGGATCCATTGCATTACATTCTAAATTACATGACTCTTATTGAATAACTAATGTACTCAAAACATGTAATTTATAAATAAATATGCAATAAATTTGTCATACTGCATATCACATTTCAAAGCTTGATATTGAGCATGTTAAACTAGACAAATGTCTAAAAAACCCATCCAAGCCAAAACCAAGTCAAATACTCAGCGAATAATTTGTATAATCAATAAAAGTCGACATAAACTAATAAGATACAAATACTTAGCGTTTGAATAACTTATACACCGAAAGGTTTGAAAACCAACACCACGGACTCAAAGGTCGGGCAAAATCCCAAAACGGGTATTTATCGGTTAGTCGTATTTTATTCATACTTTGAACAATTTATTTATATTTGTGTTGTGGTTGTGTTTTATTTCTAAAATTAATTACTCTAATCCTTTTTGTTTTATTTAAGATTTTAAAATTAAATAGGTCAACCCATTTATTTAATAGGTTGGATTGAAAAAATCATAAACATGTCATCCCGCAGTCAACCATTTAGATTAACATGTTAGGTTGAGTTGAAAAATCTCAACCCATTAATCAAGTGGGTTGGGTTGAGATTTTCAACCTGTTTAACAAATGGGTCGAACCCGAACCCAGTTCAACCTGACTCATTGTCATCCCTAGTGGTTAGCTTAGGCGGTAAGTGAAAGTCACCGCTCTTACCCAGTAAGTCGGTAAGTGAAAGTGATCACTCTTATACGGTATGCTTTTACTAGATAAAAATGTTACATACAATGTCATTTTAATATATTAAAAATCTTACCCGGTAAGGTAAATAAAAATATTGAATCTTATTGATAGACGTTTACTGGGTAAAAATTGGATAACCAATATTAGTTATATTTTAATATTTTAATTAAACAAACAATACCTTATTTGACACATGATTAAAAATATACATTGTATATATTTTAATATTGTTATATAAAAGTTTATATTATATTTGGAAAAAGAGATATATATATTTGTATCATTTTAGAGGCAATTTATCAAACACCTATCGAGTAAGCGCTTACTACTTCAATTACCTTATCGTGTGAGAGGAAAGATAAGGATTGACAAATTTACCTAGTAAGTGAAAGTTGTGACTCTTACCTAGTAAACGCTTACTGATGATAAGCACTTACCATCTTCCATCAATCCATTTTGATAACTGAAAATGTTACTCAAAAAAGTAAGTGAGCATGATGATTTATACCGGTAATCATTTGGTAAACAACTGTGTTAATATTATTTTATTTATTTCCTTTTCTTCTTTTTTTCTTCCTTAAATACAAATTAAAAAAAAAAAACTTATTTTCCTTTCCTTTCTTTTCTCTTCATTTTTTATCCGTTTATTTTATTTTATTTTCATCCCAAATTCAACAACTACTTTGAAAAAAAAAATACTGAATAGCAGGTAGCAAGTTACACAGACTAGATTCTATTAGACCAAGGGGTGTTTGGGATTGCTTATTTAAAACAACTTATATTTTTCTACAAAAGTTCTTATCAATTTATTATAAGTCAGAATGGTTTAACTTCTTCAAAAACTTCTTATTACCGGTTTAGCACCGGTATAAGCTGTTTATCCAAACAGTCATAAATGCTTATTACCGGTGTCATATAAGTCAATAAGTTGTTTTTATAAGCAATCCCAAACACCCCCAAGTGTCGTTCAACCTATATCTAGAGTAAACTACAAAATTGGCCCCTAAGGTTTGTTAAAGGTAACAGTTTTTGTTTTTACAGTTTCAGAATTACAAGATGGTTATAATGGTTTGCAAAAACATCTGAGTTTAATACCTTCCTCTAATTGCTGTTAAATGACAAAATGATAAAAGGACCCAAATTCTCCTCATTTAGCTGAATCTTTTAATAACCATTAAAAAAAGGTACCAAACTGTTTTTTGCAAACCACGATGGTTATCTTATAATTTCAAAATTGTAAAGATGAAAAGTGTTATTTTTGACAAACCAGCATGGACCAAATTTATAGTTTACTCTTATATTTAAAGTATGTATTTTTAAGTGATTTTTATTCAATATGCATCGTTTTTTAAGTGATCTGTTAGAAGGGTAGATTCTTGATATATTGGATGATTGAGAGTTAGAAATGATTAAGATACAATCATTAATATGCAAAGCAAACCACTGAAACTTATTCAGATAATAAACGGTCTTAATGAAAATATATCTGAATAAATGATTGAACATTTCACTGATTCATAAAAAAGATAAACAAATACAACATACGTTATCTTAAACGACATTCAGCTTTTTATAAAACAAAATTGCCATTCGAAGCTATACATGAACCTGTTCCAAATAAAAGATAATCTTTTCAGAACAGTTGTCTGTTAGAATTAGTCGAAATAAATGCGTATGAAATAACGAATACGGTTACCTTGTATGGTAAGAATCGTCTTTAGCAAAGATTGCGTTGTCTTTACAAGTTACAACCCTTTGATTTTGCAAAAGGCGTAGATACAAGATCCAAGAAACCCGAGAGACTGGCCCATGACATTCAACTAATTAAATTTAACGAACAAGAAAAAAAAAGTGTAAAGTGAGATAATGAGCGGATTAAATTCAGAGATTTTATCTGTCGAATCTTGAAAGAACGTTATTATTTACCGGATCAAATGGAAGACCGCCGAAGAGAAGCCAACCAAATCCAATGGTGAAAAGATCCTAAAATATATATTATATACAACTTTAAACCGTTTAAAGTCAACATGAGAATTTTTTTTTTTTGGGACATAAAAATATTTATATTATTTACCGGTACAAATGTTTGATTTTTGGGGACATAAAAATGTCATATGCCCCCAAAAAAAATCAAACATTTGTAMTTGTAAATAATATATCAGTTATTAGCTTTTTCATGAAATATTATATGATATTCATCCCGAAAAAGTCAAAATATTGACGTCTAAAGGTCAAACTCGAGCATCCATAAAGGTGGAGTTTTTTCAATGGAGCTCGTTATGAACGGTTAATCTATAAATTATACGATCCATTAATGCAACAAGAATACTTTGAAACGTAATTAAAAAAAACGTGTAACCAAGATCATTTCGCACCTTTAAGTTGCCACATATCGTTTGTGTAAGCGCGGAGTTTAGAGTTGTGTTCAGAAAAACCACATAATTCAAAAGGAAAGCCATAACACACGAGAGAAGCATCACAACCTGTATGAAAAATGTCAAAATTAAACTAGAAAATAGAAATGATTGTGCGGTTTTAAACAAAACCATGAATTTAATTTCGAAGATTCACACCTGAAATCCGGGCGATAGCAAGTGCGAGAAGTTTGCGGTGACTTCGAGATCACCGCAAACCCATGTCCACAGTAACAAGACCGGAGTACAGATTAAACCTACAAAAAGATCAAGATTTCATTTTCGATAACGAGTAAATAATCATGCTTTGATCCTTCTCGTAAAAACGCAAGAAAAAGAAAAGGGACATGAGACAGAAAGGGACAATTCGACTTCTAAAACCATAGAGTATATAAACCTAGTATATGATCACTTATCACTACAACAAAATCGGGTTTATAGGACACTCTCAATTTATAAGTGTCCTAATAGACCTCTTTATAAAACTCAGTTTATAGGAACAAAAAAATAAACCTTTATATCTAAAGATGTTGTAATAAGTTTATATGACGTTGTTGGGCGTCTTAACAAGTTTTTTAGGACATTTTTAATACATAGTGTCGCATTAGCAACTTTATAGGACACTTTCTCAAAAATGTCCTATAAAAACAAATGTCCTATAAAAAAATTGAGTTTATAAGACACTTTTCTCAAAAGTGTCCTATAAAGTTGCTAATGCGACACTTTTTATTAAAAATGTTTTAAAAAACTTGTTAAGACGTTCAAAAGCGTCATATAAACTTATTACAAGACATTTAGATAGAACACTTTCTATTTTGGTCCTATAAATTAAGTCCTATAAAGCGGTCTATCAGGACACTTAGAGATTGCGGATGTCCTATAAACCCAATTTTGTTGTAGTGTATGGAGCTGAGATTGTCTTACCATTGCACCACATAAGCCCGAAACTATTCAAACCGCTAGATTTTCCTGAAGAACAACAAGAACTTATATGTCATAACAGCATCTAGAAATAAGAAGGTCAATCATGAAACTATAATACGAGTACCGATTCGAGCTATGGAAGCTAGATATACTGCACTACAAATGTTTGCCGAGAAAATGACTATATAGGCATAGGAATCGAACGACAAATCCCGAGCTCCGGCTATGAAAGCACCGAGTATGATTATCCCTACACTGAAATCAAGTAGTTTGATGAAAAATGATCTCCGTTTGTATATTATCGATGAATTTTTTGAAATCGACGATGTACCTGCCAACGATACCAAGAGAATATCTTTGTCGAGCCAAAACATACTCTACGAGCATTGTAAATGCTACAGTCGTTCGTCTAAGGGTGGTGTACATGGGCACGCTTACGCCACGAACGGATTCCATTGAAACCAACTTGTATAGACGAAAGAAGAAATGTCAGACGACTAAGAAACAATTACGAGTGTACCTTGTTAATCGGGATACTGTAATGTACCATGTATAGTAGATACGAGATTGCGAGAGGAAGGGTTGTAATTAATGTATTTGATGGTACGAACATCATCGGGGCGTTTTTTGTGCTATGGTTTTCGCTATCGACTCTAAAAGAGATGATTTTTCGGTATCTCAATGCGTAAAGAAGGATCGACGAACACGTCATCTACAACAAACATAAAGAGAAGTTAACGAAAAGCCGCTTTTGACTTTTAAGAGTCAAATTGATCGTTCTTTAACCTCAAACCGTTAGTAGTCCTTGTCGTCTTACATGAAAAACCAGATAACGGCATCGATCTACGAAAGGAGCTCTATGATATTGTATGTTATTATCGAAAAGAACGTAAAAACTTGAAATGTAAATTTCGATTCGAAAAATACCAAGTTTGACTTTTGGAAGTCAAAATTGAGGATAGTATGAGGATGAACCTGGAAAAGAGTAATGACATTGGCACATGGAAATTTATATGAAGAAAGAGCAGCTTTGTTGAATAATATCAAGAGAACTGCAAAAATTAAACATTAAAATTAGTAAATGAAAATAATGAATTTAATTAAAGTAAAAGAAAATAATGCATTTAATATGTTTCTAAAAATATAAATATTTAATTAATAAATCTTTTTTATTTCTAATTAAATATGTAAAACTTATGTGACAAAAAATAGCTTTCTCCTTTAAATTAACTTATTTGAAATTATCTTGATTGGATGTTGGAAGTTGTACAATCTTTGAATCCAGGATAACTGATTCTCTTTGGAGTAGGTTGAGTAGAAAAAAGAGGAATCTGCCAGAGGAGGGGCTCGTGTCTGACGGGCGGTGTGCACAAGGCCCGGGAACGGATTCACATATGGCTGACCAACAATTACTAGCGATTCCGGCTTTATGCAGGCGAGTTGCAGCCTGCAAACCGAACTGAGGACGGGTTTTTGAATGAAACGTCGGGCCAATCGCAAGAATAGTTTGAGTAATGAAAATTTTGGAATTCTTATGTTTGGCATTCATTGTGACAGTTTGAAGTACAAATTCAGGGTTGTGTTGAATTAGACCAACTGGTTAATAGAATCTCGTCAAGAAAATAGCGATAAACCTCTTATGGTAGTGACTGTAGAGGAATTTATGGTTGAACATATCTACAATCAGGTTTCATGAAGATTGTTGCTATGGGTATTGGAAGATCAAAAGTAAAAAACCCAAAGTAGACCTTAATTAGAAATCATTTAGTTGAGGATAGTTTGAATAGTCAAGGTTAAACTATTGACACAATAGTGGCAGCGAGTGATCTACGTGAAAATGCTTATGCGGATTCTTTTACCACCCGGGTAAAGTCAAAATGGTTGTAGGTACTTTGAATTGAAAGAAGTATGGTCGATTATGGTGGGATCAATTTATGCAAAGATCATCAGAGTTTTGAAGGCAAGGGCAGAGTGTGACGCAGTTCGATAGATGTTGGTTAGAAATATTAAGGTGGCGTTTGTTTTTTAAGAAGTGCTGAAGTCTGAAGACTGATTTCACTTCTGATTTATAAGAGGTGGTCCTGAAGTCTGAAATCTTGATCAGTAAGATTGTTTGTTTTGACGTCTGAAGTCTCAAATTTGAATCGATCAAATTAGTGCAAAAATATAAAAGATAAATAATTTTTTACTAAAGTATAAAAGATAAATAGTTTTTGCTAACAAATCTCTTCATGAACCATTTGATAGAGGGCTGATTAGGATTAAGAGGTATTAAGATATACGTTTACCACTTAAAATTTCAGAGAGCATTTAGAGCTTTTAAGCTCTTATTTTAGAAATAAAACAAATACTCTTATACCCAAACGTCTAAACAGACTTCAGAGATATTAAGAGATAATTTTGAAAAGAAAAAAAAAAGCAAGCCCTAAGAGTAAATTCACTTATAGGCAGCAATGCAGCATTTAAGAAAGTGAGCATTTGAGGTCGTAAGCTACTCTTTGAGATGGTATGAGTCACCTAAGGTTGGAAGGCAACCGATATCATATTGTTGGAAATTTCTTCAATAAAGTTGATATTATTCTTTTATTATACAGTAATTATTAATATATTTCTCATTCATTATTGTTTTACCATCTATAGTAATAATTATTTATTAATCTTATATTTTCATATTTTATTGTAAGAATAATAACATTGTTATTATTTATTATTAATACTATTAATTTTATTATTATTTATTATTAATACTTAATCTAGTCCGAAAGAAGTTAATTTGAGCTCTGAAGTTACTTGATGGTTAATTGAGTTGTAAATTTTTTAAATTATAAGTATTGGATTGGAATTGAGTTAGGGTCATTTGAACCATTCAACCCAATAAACCCGATATCCTATATTTCTTGGATTTAATATGATCGTAAATTCCCTAATTAATATGTACACTAAATTAGAAACCCGTGATTACAGTTTCACTCGTAGTTTTATTTTTCTATTTGCATTAATTTTCAACTTTATTCCGGATGTTTCTTTGACTTTATCTTCGTTTCCATGTATCATAAAAGGCCAATCAACTCGAGTAACGACTAATGGTTGTTTAAGTATATTGATACAGTGATGGTATGTTTCATTCATACCGACCAACCCAACCTGCACATATTGGGTTGGATTATGCTTTTAAAAGAATTTAACAGATTGAGATTTTTTAAACCACATTAGTTAGAGTGAATAACCAATCTGACCCATATACGACCCTAATTTGGACAAATCAAAATTCTGATATGTTTGCCTCACTTTTTGTGAGGGACAAATTGTATAAAAGATTGTAAATTGCAATTTTGGTCCTTGTGTTTTACAGAAAACTATAAATAATGTCTCTAAACTTTAATAAGTACCGAAATGGTCAGTACAGTTTGTATTTTGCTATGAAAGTGGTTTACTCATAAAAATGTGACTAACTATGACTTCATTCTTATTTTAGTTCATTAATTTTCTAAAAGTTTCATTTTAAATAACCGACTTTCAAAAATTATCATTCAAGGGGCATGATAACCAAATTCATGTACTTCAAAATATGAACGGAATAAAAAAAAGGTTCCATTTTGGTTCTGTAAAATGAGAACGTTTAAAAGTAGGTTCTTCAAAATAGCAGTTTTGAAGATTAGTTCAAAATAAAGTTCTAGATAGTTGATTTATCAAAATAAAAATGTAGACAAAATTAGTTATTACAATAAATTACAGGTTTGCTCCTTGGGGCTTACATATTATACTGTCTTAAAGTCCATTTTTTTGAAATAATTGCGAATTACAGTCATATGGTTACATTATTATAACGCCTTGTGTCTCTTGCTCTAACTTCGCTTAATTTTTTTGTGAAGTAGGTTTTTTTTTTTTAAGTATATAATATTTATATACGGCAAATGCAACAAATAAACTCACACACACCCTCCTCACCTATGGTGAAGTAGGCTAACTACATGGGTAGTTCTAGTTTTTTTTTTCTTGGACCTAAATAGTGAAGTGAACAGTTATTGGGCAAACCTGTTGTTTTTTACGGGTTTGATTCATGAAAATTAAAAAGGGTTTTATTCCTTGGCGTATTAAGTTTCAAAGGTAGATTCACCTCTTCTTTTTACCCCGAATGGGTAATTTTGTGCCAACAAATGGCTCGTGTATTATTGGGGTTTTTCAATCCTTTTGTCTAAATCTGTTTTATTTTAGGAAATATTCATACATTGGAACATTTGGATGAATGAAGTTATTATATGTAACATAATACGTTATTCCTATTGTGTTTATTAGATGTCAAGCTTGGTATTGTGGTGCTATAACCCTTATGCATGAGGGTTGTAAAATTGTGTTAACAAATGGGATATCTTGATTCCTATCTGATTTCTATTAAGTGGACATTAAAGATCGAATGAGAACCTTGAGATGAGATTTAAGTATCTAATGGGCAAGCACTAAAGGTACTACCACTTTCTGTATGCAGTAAAGCCATAAAATCTGAGGTGTAATCCCGAGAAACACTGATACGTTGCAATAATTTTGTGTTCCCACCACATCCAGTGGAAATGGGTCTCCCCTATCATTAAAAGATGTTATGTATGCAACATGTCAGGTTTGGTCATCTTAGGAGACTATATCTCTATGTACCTATGTTACCATTTCCAGGTAACGACATCTTATATACATCGTTAATGCATGTTCGGTTCATTATTTTCAACTATACTTGTTTAAACTCACTAGACATAAGTCGAACACTTTTCTTAAAATGTCATGTATATCAGGTCCCTTTAGCGGCGGGTCCAAAACAATTTGATATGTGACGTTGTGTTGTCTACAAGCATCGGGAGGAACGTTATTTAAGGGTGGTTTGTGAGACAATGTGGAATCTTCGAGGATTAGTAACACCCGATTGTAATCTAGTTAAATCTATAATTAGATTAGTAGGTTGCTAACTTTAATCCTACTGCTAGTTGGTAGCTACTTACTCATCATTTCCATTGTATGGGTTTAAGCATGTTATTAAATTATAAGATTATCCAGGTTTTTGGAAGTTGTATTTTGTTAAATTTTAGGGTTGTTACAAGTTGGTATCAGAGCTCTCGTTTAGGAGATTTAGGTATGATTTTAGAATACCTAGATTTAAGCTAACCAATTTAAATGTCGCCTTATTAGAGTTGATTAGAACTCTAAGAGTGGATATCTTTAGGACTCAACGGAAATGCATTATTGAAACTTATAGTAATAGTATCGAGAATTATCATGTGTAATACTTTTGTAATTTTATCTTGGCCAATGTTATTATGAATTTATTGTTACGTATTACGTATGCATACTTGGCTTACTATTACTATGAGGATTGATACGTTTATAAAGAATTAACTCGATTGTTCTTCGTATGTGTGTGGTAGTCTCAAATGGTGAACATTAGGAGCCATCAAACGGTTGGGGAGGAAGGTGTAGAGGCTTGTGTGACCGTTCTTGATCAAGGTGGAAGACCCTAGAACGCTCTACCCCTTCATTGTAGCCGATGTTGGGTGGTAGGATTAAGCATATACCAAGGGTGGTGTTGGCCACTTCACATCCGATTATCCAAGTGGTTAACTGTAACGCCCAAAATTCCAAATTAATCTATATTGGGTTTGATCTTTAGATTCAATTGTTAAAATGTTGAATTTTGGACCATATGATAGTTATAAGAGTTGATGGTTTATTTGGGTTTGAAAAATCTGGAAAAAGAATCAAACCATGCGAAAACAAGAAGTAGCATGACCTCGGCTCTGAAACATGGTGGTTAAGGCAAAAGAGTATTATTGATGCATTTATGAAGTTTTGAGACTTGAATCTTATAATTTAGATTTCTTCTGGTTTTTACATACTTGAAAGTGTTTATTTGAAAGGGTCATCTTTGAGAGGGAAAAAAAGTGTTCTCACTTGTGGAGAACATAGTTATAGGCTTTATGGACCTTGGCAAAGATAATGATTTGGTTATGTTTAATAATGAGATTATACGATGAAAACTATATGTTTGATTATAGTTTTTTTTTTTGTA